TGGGACAGCAGTGAAGGGGCACTAAGAGAATGGTGCAATCTGGGGGAAAGTGGGGATTTGCCAGGCACTGCAGGAGTATGGGGTATATCAAGGACTGTAGGAGGAGCATATGGGGCTTTGTAGCGATATAGTGTTGGTGGGGGTGGCTGATGGGGGCATTGTGATATTAAGGGATATGTGAAGAAGGGATATTGCATTTTTGAGGGCTGTATGTATGATATATGGGAGCTGTGGGTCTAGAATACGAGGGGAGATTTAGGTTGGACATAAGGAAGACTTTTTTTTATGATGAGGGTGGTAAGACACTGGAACAGGTTGCCCAGAGAAGTTGTGGATTCCTCATCATTGGATTTGTTCAAGGTCAAGTTGGACGGGCCTTTGAACCACCTGATCTAGTAAAAGACGTCCCTGCTGATGGCGGGGGGGTTGTCCCTTCCAACCCAAGCCATTCTGTGATACTTTGGTTCTATGATTCTATGACCATGGAAAAATGAGGGGCTGTGGGGGAGCTGGAGTTGCAGGGATGAAATATTGAGGCAGTAGAAGTATAGGGGGTACTGTGGGCATATGGCATCTGTGGGGACGAGATCAGGGTAGGCTTTGGGTTTACCAAACCATTTTGGCTGTAGAGATGGGCTATAGGGACAGTGAGGAGGGAATATGAGGTTTGTAGGGGTAGATGGATGGATGAATGGATGTTTGCAGTTTGTGTTGCTCTATGAGATTGTCCTTGACCTGCGGGATGGGAGAAGGGAAACGGGGTGGGAGAAAGGAACCAGACTTCATGTTGGATTACCAGGTTGGAATGGGATGTGGGGGTGTAGGGTGGCTGTCAGGCTATAGTGTGGGAGTGGGGATGGAGTGGACGATGGATTATAAGATAGCAGTAGAGGAGTACAGCAAGTATTCTTTGGGCTATGGGGTGAGAATGCGGCTTTGAGGTAGGCGGTGGGAGGGAAGCTATAGGGTGATTACTTGCCCATGGTGTAGAATTGGGCTACATGGTGTGAGTGGGTCTATGCAGCAAGATTCGTGTTACGGAGCAGGCATTACGCTCTGGGATAGAAGTGAGGCTACAGGACTGGAGTGGTGCTATAGGTAAGGTTTTATGCTATGGAGAAAGAGTGGACCAAGAAACAGGAAGCCAGATGGTGGAAACAGCACTTGGGCGTAGGGTTTTGTTTATGCGGAGACAGTGCAGATGTGGGGTGAGAGGGGGCTATGGGGTGTGAGGGGGCTGTGGTTTACTAGGGAGTGAGTTGGTGGTGTTGGGGCAGGGGGGGGGGCGCTGTGTGGCGGGGGAGGGTGGGTGGGGGGGGGGGGGGGGGGAGGGTTGGTATATGGAGTGGGAGTGGCATGATGGGATGGCACAATGGGATGGGTGTTTGGGCAGGAGGTGGGAGTGGGGCTGTGGGATCGAGGGGGCACAGGCACAGGTTATGGGGTGGGAGCGCAGGATGGAGTAGGAGTGGGGCTATGGCTTAGGCACTGGGCTATGGGCTTGCAATGCATGTCATGCTGCATAACAGGACCCCATACGGATTGGTGCCATGAGGTAGCCCGCATGCTGCCACAAGAACTTCTGGTAGCAGGTCTCTGGGCTGCCCATAGGGCAGGAGCAGCATTGCGATCAACCACAGAGCCTTCATGGCCCTGGTTACCTGGGAAGGGAATTGTAAGGGCAACCCCCATTGTACGGGCAACCACTGTGGTATCCGGGTGCCCCTGCTGCACCCAACTGCTCCCCAGGAGAGACCCAGATGTCCCGGCTCCCTCTGCCCCCCCGCAACCCCTTAGGGGACCCAGGCATGCTGTCTCCCCCATTCAACCCCACAAGCAGCCCTGCCCTCCAGGGGACCTGGGCAACTGGATGCACCAACCTACCTCATTGTCCCTTGTCGTCGTGTCCCCCCCCCCACCCACCTCCTTGTCCCGTGTCGGCGTGTCCCCCCCCCCGCCCCATTCCTACCCACCCAGGACCCAGATGTCCGTGCTCCACCCCACACACCCAAGTACACCCAGATCCCTCCTGGCCCCCAGCCACAGGCTCTCCCCTAATTACCCGGTGCTATCCACAATTAATTAGGAGGGAGCAGCCTTCCCCTTAACCCCATAGCATGTCAGGGCACTGTTAGGGTGTTGTTCGCAGAATGCGGGCCCTTCCCCCATCCCCTACTTTCTTCCACCCCTTCCCAGTGTCCTCC